TGGCACATGGCGTCTGTCATGCTTTGTATCTCGGCCACAAGAGAGAAGACCCTGGCAGATACTGCCCTCATGTCTGTTCATCAAATGTGTTCATCAGTATTTGAATGCAGCCTCTTCAATGACTTAAACAATAAACCAAAAAAAAAATAAGGATTTGGCAGATAAACTCAAGAATCAACTTCTTTCCTTCAGTTTTTGGGGAAATAATGTTTTGTGGGCTTTTTACTTTTGTTGTGATTACAATAACAGGAACTGTTTTCTCACCTACTGTGAAAAATAGAGGCAGAAAACATTGGATATGTGATTTGATTTGCTGCGGTTCTCTCCAAAATGGTTTACAATTTTACACCTGTATTTATTCTTAATTTTCTTTGTATGCTTTGTGATGTTTGAGAAAATAATGGCACCTCAAACTGTTGCAACATATTGATAATGCATGTTTGTTTGCCTATTTTCCAGGCTGTTTCAGGCTTTGCAAGACAAAGTCAAAACAACACAATTGAAGAAGTTGCTATGGGAGCCATGCATGGTGATTTTTCCATCAGAGCACAAGGTGATGACAAGTAAAAAAAATCCTTTGCTCCAAAAATAGTGACACACATATACACAACATCCACCTACACATACATACAAGCATGTAGAGACAGTGTGAATGTATCATGCTCAGTTCACTCTGACAACAAGCTAGGTGTTAATAAGTTGTTAAATCCATCTGTGGTTTAAATACAGTGAAAAAATGTAATAGATAGCATATATATATAAATAATGTGTGTGTGTGTGTGTGTGTGTGTGTGTGTGTGTGTGTGTGTGTGTGTGTATATATGTGTGGTTATATCGACTACAATATAACATGAAATACAGCAAATTAGTGCTGAATGACAATGTTGTTGACGTAATAATTTGATGTTAACAGCTGTTTGCACTTGTCGTGATTATAGCAGCTGAATTGGGTGTAGCCTCCATTCGACAATAAAAACATAAAATAAAAGTGAAAAGTCAATACGCTTCTTGTTGTTCATGGTGAAACAGCTAAATTTGGTGTTTTCAGCATGGAGTGTGATGAATAAAAAGTTGGTCCCTCCTGCAGCAGTGTCATTTGCTAACATTTCCCATTAGATGTTGCTTAATTGCCTAATGCTTTATTTTGTTATTCTGTTCTGCATCTTTAAATGCAAATCAGCTAAATCACAGGATGTTGCCAATATTGAAGTGTAAAAGTTGTAGTAGGAACAGGAACACATAACAAGCTTATTTAATTAGGTTATTATATTGATCAGCTCTATGTGTGATTAGAAAAGAGCAGAAGAACAGAATTATTTGTTGATCATCGTGGAAAAAAATGCTTCCAGCCAGGCTACTGACAATATGCATACAAACACAAAGCTGATGCCAAATAAGGCACTGAACACATGGGCTGAGAAGTTTAAGTTACTGTTTCATGTTCTGAATTGCAAATGTTACTTTTTGCTAGTCTTTGTGACGTGTCTGTTCAGAACATGCTGGTTCATAGTTTTAACCATAAGTGAGGTGGCTGTAACTTTTCTTGACAGCACCTATATTTTATTATGGGTTTGTAAGCTGTTTGCCCCCCCCTCGTGAAATGAATCAGGTGCCATTGTCTCGTTCTGCTTGTTGGCAGCCGCCCACCACTGACACTGAACAGCTGCCAGAGTGTATTAGAGTAAAATGTCGTGTGGTATGTCATGTATTAAATGTGCACGTTGGACTGTCATTTTTTTTGGTTGGCAGAATATCTCATTTAATATTTCAGTGAAATTTGGTGGAAAGTTCTTGGTTTGGAACAGGATCCAGGTATAGATTAAATTACCTTTTGATGGCATTTTAACTATTTCCTCATTACTCATAATGCAATCTTTGAATGGGGAAAAAATCTGAAAAATTCTTTCACTGTGTACAATAACAGACAATCTAAATGACAATTAGTTGCACAGCCCTGTAAGAGGTATATTATTGGTGCTTTCAGTTTCTTCTCACAGCATAATAATGTGAGTAAATATATCTGTGACTGAGGCGTCATAAAGCAGTAACATTTTGTAAATCTGACTTCAATCATAGCGTTGAATAGGTATTTTGGGAGATTTATTATGACTCTCAGCTGGCATTTGAGAATCTAAAAAGGTACAGTAGTATACACTGCATGGTATAAAACAGTGTCATGCATCTTAGCTTTTTATTCTAAATTACAGTTTACACTGAAAATTTCAATACCAAAATACACTTTGTTCACATCTTCTGACCCTACTGAACCCAAAGTGAATCATCATGTACCCACTGTATTCAACACAAGACAATAACCCGCTCAATTAAATATTGCCCTTTGATGCCCTTAGTGTTGAAGTAACGGTGCATTACAAACATTTTTAAACTACGATTTTTCATGGTGCTTGCGCCGCGCCACAACAGCTTTTCGCACTGCTCTGCTAGCTTGAACTGAACCCAGAGAGGTAGATACAGAAAACAGAGGACTTACGAGAAGGTATGTTTTCTTGAAAAAATGTAAACATATTGAGACACAAAGCCGGAGGGCACAGAAAGCACGTACCCTGTTTTCCACACAGGTTTAATTTCCAGGCAAGCTGAAATGTATGCAGAGGTGTGAAATTTTAACATACTGAGAATACACACTTATATACTGTTGATGGAGATCAGATGAACCCCTGGGACGTTCCTTATTGATTGAACCAATTTGATGAAAGGATTGTCAATAAAGTCAGAGTTAAGTTGCTTACCACCTCTTGTGTTGTCCTGGCAACTGCACATAAAGTGTATCCAGAAAGCATTCAAACCAATGTGGAATTCATATTATATGCTGTTACAATGTTTGGTTCCTAACATCACTGGTAACCTTGAATGCCGAAATGAATTCAGAATAAATAAAAAATAAAATCAGAAAATAAGTATTCAAACACTTTTAGATGACAAGCTGAGTTATCCAGCATCCATATTTTGCATGTGACTCTACTTGTGGCCAGTGCAATTATCATGATTTATGAAGTATATATTGCAATAGGCCACACAAAGGATATTTCTTGTCAAAGCTGAAACTTCAGTTAAAAATTCATAAAATTGCCACAGAAGTCAGAAAGGATGGACAGTAATGCCTCTGTTGTGAGTGTTGGGACAATCAGTTAGCAATGGAGGGTATATCTAACGTCACCTTCACTGGGACTCATGGTGATGGTAGCATTTTACAGTTTTTAGCAGGAGGGAGTGGAACATTTGTAAAGTTAGAGGAATGTTACTGCCAACATGGAGAACCTGTTTCAGTCAAGTTATTAAAATTGGAGAGTAGCCTGAAGCGTACAGCTAAATCCACAGATGGTTTCAACATCAATCTGAAAGTCAAATGTCCAGACTTTACAAATCTGTGGAATAGCTGCTGAGACACTTCCAGACCACTCTGAGCAAGACTGAGCAAAGTAAGTAATCTGGAGTAAAGAAAATGTACAAACATTTATATTTTTACATAACAAAAAATCCCTTGTGTTTTATTGTAAGACTTGTATGAAAGGGTTTTAAGACAGATATTCTTAATCTTGTGCTGTCAAGCTACAGAGGTTCTCTTTCCAATCAAAGGCTCAGGTAAGATGAGTTCATTGATTAGAACACATTTTACCAGGGAGGAGAAACTAATCAGTGAAATTACTGGTATAGTGATTAGTTAGAATGACAAACTGTGCAGTCTGGAACCTTCGAAAGCTATTTCACTACCACAATGTTTTTTTAATCTTGAATATTACTTGGCATTTGAAATACACCTAATATTTAAAAATGTTTTGCTTTGGCAGCAAGCACATGTACAATGTGGCTCTGTGTGGCTAATAAGCTCATCCACATGGCCAAAAAGCAAGAGCAGATGATAATTAACCTTTGGTGAATGTTTTTTACTCCAACAGTCCAAAACTCTAAAACATTAGATTTACAATCACGTCCATTAGAGGAAATCTGAAAATCCTCACATTTGAGAGGCTAAACCAGCAAATGTTTGGTATTTTGTGTGTTCTTTTTAGCATAAAACACACAATTACAAGAACCTTTTTACTTTAAACTTAAAAATAATCCACTTTCCGGGTTTTTCTGTTACCTCTGATGGCCAGTATGTCTAATCCTATGTGAAGACTCTGGGTCGGATTTTCTGTTAAATCCATTGGCTGTGCTGCATGCGCGCTCCCGAGCCTCTTGCCTTCTGATTTTAGACCGTAAACACAGCAACAACACTGCAGCTAACAAGATGGAGTCAGCTAAAACCAAAAAACAACCGGCTCCCAGCACAACACAGACTCCAACACAAACTCCACGTAAGAAGGAAAAAGTAACATTTCGGCAAAGCATGTGAAATATATTGTTATTTTGTGCTTAAGCTAGCTCAGGTTAGATAACGTTAGCTCGGCTATGGCCGAGCACTTGCTAACGTTATCCGGTGCAAAATACAGTAAAATACTACCATTTAACTACACATCAGGTGCAATCTGAAAACTGCACCGCTAGTGGCCACTGAAACTTCATATAGCCCCTTTAAAATATATTTTGAACAATGCAAAAATCCTCATTTTTCCTGGATTGTTGTACAGAGAATCTGACAGCAAGAGTTGGCCTTGCTGAGATAACATACTGAAATGAAGCGGACCAGACAGCTTGAATAGAAAGGCCATGTTTCATGCAGAGTATGAATAGAGCACCCTACAGGAAAATGTTCAAGAGAATCACCTTGTTTCTGAATAGAAGTGGGAATCGTATTAAGGAGGGTTACATGAAGGTGAGGCAACTGTAGGGAGGAAAAAAGAGAAGAGGGAGGACAAAAGAACAGGTTAGGAGGGATGGATGGAGAGAGTTTTAGAGCCTAATACCCTATCGGTCTTTTAACATCTGTCTGCTTGCTCCTAAAACCAGGGAAGCAGCTGTGACTCATCTGCTGATTAGAGCTGTAATCAATCACTCATCACATTGTGTGTGTGTGTGTAAGCAGTGGACGCATATGTGAAGTTGGAGCAGTAATAGAATATTTCCATAGTGGGTGGGTTAGTCAGCCCGTGCCATGGTGTGAAAGGCCGTGAGCAGTCGAGCTGCGCTGGAACGTTGCAATTATTTTCCCACTGCACCGCACAGCAAGGTAAAGTTGTTTACCATGATGACGTGTTTGTAGTGTGCTAGTCACAAACAAGTGGGGACCTCCGGGTCTGAAAATAAATGTAAGTCAGAATTCGGAAATGCAGAAGTGCCTTGTGAAAGACACTGCTCCTCCTACTGTTCTTTCTTCTCTGTTTCTATTGTTTTGATCCAGTGTGTTAATGAACTACAACGAAGGCCGGCTGTTAACGCTCCTTAACTGCTGCTCCACTCTGCTGCAACACCTGCACGCTAACGATACCCCAAACGAACGTAGAACCAAGTCAGCACATTGCAGACGCTATACATGCGTTGCCATCACAACCGAGCCACATAGTAGTAAAGAAAATCTTTCCGAACACAACAGAGCCGGCCTCCGAAAGCCTACAGGGCACTGACACTGCCCCTCCTCCAGAGCAACTTCTCTCCTGATCAATTGAAACTCAGGTGTAGTAAAAGTACTTTTCTGTGAAATTGGGGTGGATGCTACAAATGACTAATTCCTAAGTACTAGCTTCAGGCCAAATAATGATAAGAAGTTGTAAATTATTTCACTCATGATTCCCAAAAACCTCTCAGCTGCTGACCGGTGCTTGAACTTAAATGTCCCTTTTTAGATTACACTTAGAGGTCCCAACTTCCATTTTTATACTTAATAGCTGTTAGTTATGTGTGTATTTTGTAGTTTTTGTGTCTCCAGTTTAGTACTATAATAAATCTTTCTTTTATGAAGAGCTTGGTTCTGTGGTTTGTGTGTGGAATAGTAAACAGTCACTGTACACCGACTCAGAAACTCTGTAGCGACTTTTAGATTGAGACTTAAGTAATTACATTTAAATTACTAGATAATTAATTATTACAATGTACATGACTATTTATGCTAACCAGAAGTGAGTGCGAATCCGCTACTTCCTCTTACCCAGTTAAGGTAATTCGCTATGATTACTTTAATATTTTTAAGACACATCTGTCACTACACCTGAACAACAACTCGCCTTGGTTTTTACTTTTTGTATCAGATTGCTTTTGAAATGATTTCAAGACAAATATCAGAGAAGCAACTCACAACTCAAACCAGCGATCAAGCATTTCATCCGTTAATACAGTGCTGTTTAGTCTGAATGCTTGGGAGTCCACTAAGTGCAGGCATTTACAGATCACACACTTTTGACACAAATGTGTTATTTGTGAATTGTTGGATCTATATTAAATAAAACATTAAATTGACTTGATGACACATGAAAAAAAAACTTTATTATCATTAACAAATCCAATACTCATTTTCATTTTTGATACAGATATAGTTTAAATGGGAAGGTTACAGTCTGTGAATCAGCCTAAAACAATTCGAAAATGGCTGGTTTGATGCGCTGTCAGCATAAATGTGCAATTTAACTGCTCCTTTACGCTACAGAGACAGGCATTTTAGTATGCTTTATGAAAGTGAAGTTAGTGTTCCACTGATTTGCCTGGTGTAAATGCTCAGCTCCATATCTCAAAGCAAACATGATTCTCCGCCGCAGATAATAAAGATGTTGAACTAGTTCAGACTTCGTCTTTTGAAACAGACACTGTATGTATGTTGTATGTATGATGTGAAATATATGCTAGCTGTGCACATGACTGTGACATTAAAATATTTCACATTTTCCCACATCAGATGTGCTAAGTTGCCTGTATATTTACTGAGAGGTGTGCTTACAACAGAGAGCCGACATATTTGTGTGCACATGATGTGTAAGGCTGCAAGCGGCATACTCTTTGACTACCCTATTTCTATTCTGTTCCAAATCTGACTTTATCATATTAGTCTTCTCTCAGAATCTCTACACTCTCATCAGTGCATGTTTTTGTCTGCCCAAAAGTGTTTGCAAGTGTTTGTGCACATGGAAATGTGTATCTGGAGATGTGTGCATGAGTGTGTTCACGCGTGCTGCTTTGCATGTGCCGTCTGTTTCCAGTTTCTTTCTCTGTGTGGGAAAGATATTGCCGAAGGAGACAAACAAACACATCTCACACTGTGCCCACATGGTAACCAGGGAACAGAACAAAAAAGAGATAGAGGGAGAGACAGGAAGCCTGGGAGAGGGGATGCAAACAGATGCTCAGAGACAAAGAGAGAAAGGGAGTGAGGAGAGGAAACAAGGCCACATACGCTTGTCTAGTTGGATTTCAACACATCCAGTGAATGGCTCCGAGCTCTCTTGTTCAACCCTGTAATATCCTCTCGCACAGAAACCCCAACCATGTGCATGAGCTTTTACTTAGTATAAAAAGGTGAAAAATCCTCCAAAATACTATACCTATGTTTTAATACAATTCAAACAAAATATTGTTTATTTAAACAGAAGAATTGCTTCATTACCTACCATACTATGTGAAGCTCTATACCAGCAGTCAGTGGCCAAAGCCGGCCCGAAAGCAAAAGCCTGTGGCCAGATTACTTTGATAGCGGCTATTTATATTGGGGCTGGTGCTGAAAAGAGATCTCAATCATGACAGCAAACGTTACTCAGATAATTAGTTCCTCAAGTGATTGTGCCCATCGTAGCAGTACTTTGTCGTGTTTAATTGAGAGCTTTTACTTTGAAAAGTTCTGAAGGAAATTCAAAAGAGTCTCTCGCTTGCTTGACACAGATCTGAAAAGGCTGTCAGAAAACATGAGATTGGATTCCCCTGAATGAGAAAAGCAGGAATTTCCTCTGCCTGGAGATACAGGGGAAATAAAAATAAGCGTCCATAGGTTGATGTGGACCACTCGCCTGGATGCACACACTCCTGCACATGCTTAATTGTGAATATGTAATACGATCTCTTCACAATCAATTTGACATTTTCAGAAAGCTCTGACTTCTATAGTGGTTATAATGGTTATCTGCCCCTTTCTTGCTCGTGGCATGGCATTGAAATGCAACAACAACAAAAAAAAATTTTATTGTCACCAGAACAGTGCTGCTTACTACTTATAGAATTTACAAGGTATGATTATAGTGGTACTTAGTTTAAAACATAACCACACATTTCCTTTTGAAAGTAGCATTTTGACCTCTTTTAGTTCATTGTTTGTTTTTATATATATATATATAATAGACTTACATTCACCAGATCGACACAAACTGCTAATGTTGCATGGGGTTTGTTGTTAGACAAGTACTTGTATGGTTACTAGTAATTATTTATGACACATAAGGAACTTAATTATTTGTAAGGGGGTGTGCATCTGTCAGCTTGTTTTAGAGTTATGCAGTGGCCAAAAACAATTAATGCAGCTTAAATTACAGGTGACATTCATGCTAAGGGACTTTCATTGTTAACACTCATCAGGTTCAGAGTCAAAGTCACAACCAAGTGTACAGTACTTGCCACCAAATTATTAAAATATATATATATGAGTGTGTATTACTGACAGCCATCTGTTCTGAAAGGAAACCAGTCTGTTTCTCTGACTCTGTCGTGGAGCTGTGCAGTTCACTCCTGAGGCCTTGAATGTGTGTGTGTGTGTGTGTGTGTATGTGTGTGTGTGTGTGTGTGTGTGCGCGTGCGTGTGTGTACATACACATGAAAAGTTGTGCTCCAATATTCATGCATGATGTTTAATTTGTTGTCACAAAAGGCCTTTAATCCCTTTCTCAGTGTAATCCTTTTGATTCTGGTGCCTAAGTGGCACCATTTAGAATAAAAATCGGCTTTGTCTCCCACAAACACTATTAAATAAACCATTGGTTCATGTCCACATCTCTTTGAAAGCTACTATTACAAACTATCTAGCACACACACATACATGTGTATTTTTATTATTTAATTTGTATTGTTTATTTATATTATTGTGAGGACTGTCCATTGAGTTAAGTTATTGTAATAACCAACACAAAAGCCATATTAAGACAATGATCAACAATCAACTTCAGCACTGCATTAAAATATAATACCACATCCAAGCTGTCATTTCTATAACATCACTCTGCTGGGACCACAGGGATGCTGATACAGAGGGCTCTAGCCTAAATGTGAGAGGTAGGTAAACCTAACTTTCGCTGAAATACAATGTGAAGAGCACATTCCTCATTACTTTGTAACATGAACACAATTTTTCCTTTTACATACATGACATTGCCATGACAACTTTCCCAAGCTGTAAAATCAAATCTCATTATGAAGAACTATACTTAATGCAATGAAACCAAACTCAAGATATCAATGTGCAGAAATGGACTCTCTGGCCCTTATCAGCTGGTTTAAATAAAAAAAATATGTCCCGAAATGTGGTGAAGTTTAGACACAAACACACATACAACCACACACACAATCAGCAGCGACATGGGCACTGGCAGCACTATCAACAACCGTGGCACTGCTCAGGTTGGAGGCTGCTTTAGAATCCTAATAAAGAAGTAAAGAATAGGTCTAGGGTGACTTAGACTTTGGTATACCCCAATGGACACACACACACACACACACACACACACACACACAAACCCAATCTAGATTCCAGCTCACGTCTGCGGCTGACAAAATGTCCCACTCAATCATGTTCTCTTTTTCTCCCCTTCGTTGTCACTCTGCTCTGCTACACCATTGCTGGAGACACAACACACTCACACACATACACCTTTCACCCTCTTTTCCACCTCCTTTCTAATTCTCCTCTTATCAAAACGCAAACAATCCATAAATCCAAATATGACCATTTTGTTCTGTATACCCATCTCATAACTCATACATCTTCGACTGAGCTGTAAGGTTGTTTATAGAAACTGCAGAAATTGCTTTTGTATGTGTGTGCCTTTAGGGAAAGTGGAGGCATTGTAATTGTTTGCCTCTCATCACCATTGTAGGAGTTGTGCAAAGTGTCAACAGTGTTTAGAAATAGAAGAGAAATGCAAACAGCAAATCAGTTGCTAAAGCACAAAAAGCTTTTTCTTTTGATGTTATTTGATGATAAGAATGGAACGGTTGTTTTCCTTTTCCATTTGGGTGAAAAATGCCTCAGATTTAATGAATTTCTCCACTCATTACCTACCGCTATCTCGCTTTTATCAAGTCACTCAGAAATGTTTATGTTTGTTCTTTTGGCAGCAGTGGCCCATACTCGCACTCACACACTGAATCAAATCTGGAAGGGGGGGGGGGCTTTATATACATATTAAAGAGCCAGAATATAAAAAGACCATTTATTACTGCTGTCATTGTGCTGCTTGGGGAATACAGTCAGGAGCCCTCCATGGCAGACTGTTAAAATAGATTATAGAAGCTGACAGTTGGTTCATTCTGAAGAAGATGCCGCAGTTGCTTTTATTTATAATGGAATTCAATAGTATGAGAGAAAAGCTTAAAAATGTCTCACAGATGTTCTCAGCATGTGTGGGAGGGAGGACGCCATTCTGCTTCATGCTGTGCTAAGCCTCTGATTGGAAGTTATGTGCATTGATTGGAAGTTATGTGCATTGACTGTAATTGTGTAGAAAGTAGGTTTGACTTTGAACTCACATGCTCATAATTTATCAATGCTTAAATACCTGAACTATTACAATATGTAAAAGAGCAAACAGTGAAACATTAAAACAGCATGATGCCATTTAAAAGTTAAGATGAAAATTTCCCACTGACTGCTATTAGCATGTGCTGCACTAGCTGCACAATACAGCTGTAATTATTATGGGAAAGTTAATTGTTTTGACTGGCAATCCCCACAGAGTTGCCATTTCTAAGTCATAAAGTTAAACACGGA